GGGGGGGGGGGGGGGGGGATTGGGGAAAATGAACAGATCTCAAGATGCATTTTTTTAACATTTATGATGCAAGATGCAACCACGCAAATGAATTAGTATTTAGTTACTACACAATAACATATCTTCCATCCTTTAAAGGGAAAAAAGGGATAAAATCTCAGAAGGTAACAGAAAAAAAAACTAGAAGGAATGCAATAAACGTGAACTAAAGATACATACTGCAGAACATTGGACTGAAACATGTACTTTTTCCTTGAAAACTTCACCATAATATGGACAAGCAGTTACACCACACAACCAATACAAATTATTGGTTGTTGTTCATTGAGACTGAATTCCGGGGAAAAATTATTAGGTTGAGGTTTCAGTAAGTTTACCAATGGCATTGACGCTCTCTTGACTTTCGCCAAAATACTTCTTATATTGCCAGGCAATCCTTAAGCCCTTCTCCTGAAATGAATTCAACCAGATCTTATATCTTTCCATCCAAATCCAAAATCAAAAGAATTGAAAAGGTTAATGAGAAGTGGAACACCTGTTCAGCAGAACTGTCACGAGATTTACTATCTTTTGATGTCCCTGGGCTTGGCAAAGTACCCAAGAATCCTCTTGGGTCTCTAGATGGACTAGCATAAAGAAGGGGTTGGTTGTGAACAAGTCCCTGAGACATAAAATTCCGCAATAAAAGCATGTGATGAGGAGCTTCTGCATCTTCCATCACCAAGACTAGGCTTCCCAAAGGAAACCCACCACAAAGAATCTCTGCAACCAAACAAAAGGAGAAATTAAGACTAGTCCAATTGAATAACATGGGTATAGATTACAAGTCTTCAACATTTCAATTCACAACAATTTTGAACTGATGAATATGATGCAGAAAGTACTGTCAAGGTCTGGTATTCCGGATGAAATGAATGTGGTGCCATTGGGACCATGTTTAAGTCCTGGCGTCTGAGATGAATGTGCAGAAGAAAGGTTGCGGGAGAAGCTGCTTGTCCTAGGCTTTGTCGTAGCTGCCATAGTTGGGTTAATACTCTGCAGTTTTGAGCAAATCGTCCAATAAAATGTAGCTCTATGGTCTATTCAAGTCAATGAAAACCCTGAAAGCTGCAATTAACCATCTTAAAACATACGGACGCTTAACAATACAAAACTAATTGGGAAAAGAAGAAAAGGACGGTGCCAGAATAAGAGCAAAACATGATGTAGAGATGTGAATTATCCGTGATACTTAAAAACTAAAAGTTGAACAAGAAATTATACTTGCATACATATAGATATTTGTACGTTTGATGGAAACGAAGTGGGGGATGGGGTGTAAAAGGCAATAGCTTCAAGTGAAATTCATGTAAACGATCGAAAAAACTTCCATCATTTTGAAGTATACCCCTAAAAAAACTCAATCAGTCCCAAAAGTTCTCGCAAGTTCTAATAAATTCATATCGGCATTTCATCGAACACTTGGTCGGCAAGACACAAAAGAAGATTAATTTAGCAAGCCAACACCAGAAAAAACTAGCAAAATTGGGGAATAAATTCAAAGATTGGTTATGGCCCGTTTCTACACAAAGATTCACGAAGAACATACCTCAAATGCAATGATCAGGATTGTGTTTCCCTCCAGGCAGAAGACGTTAATAGATTACAAGATTGGCGGGAGCGAGAACTCGTAGGTATGTTAATAGCATCCAGAAACCACTTCGTATTTTCAGAAATAAGTCATATGCGGCGCTACTTCAGAATCTTTGCCTGCGATAGTTCAAGAACTCACAGAGAAGCAATTGAAAGTGGTAATTTTTTAAAAAAGTTTAATTCTTTAAATTTTTTATTTTATGAAATTACATTTTAAATTTTAAAACTTTATAATAATAAATTATTCCTCGACCAATTCTACATAATAATAATAATAATAATAATAAATACAAAGTCTAGAACACTCGTTTTTTTCTAGTTTATTAATTTTAATAAATTTATTTATATTATTTAATTAATGTTTTTAATTGTATTTCAATTACTAGTTAAATTTTAATCATATCTTATTAATAATATTTTATAAAGCAGAGTGCAGAAATTTGTTTACTATTTTTTTTGTTCTCCTCTCATTTTAGAAAATAGAAATCTATTTATTTATTCAATTTTCTTTTCAATTCAATAAATGAATTATATATAAGATAATGTTAATGGTGGGTGTCGGTCATCAAAACGGGTATACATGCTAGCATCATCCCATTCGAACGACAGTATGAGTCAAACATTGCAGAAAATAGATGACTACATAAGTTTAATCTCTCATATCAACGTTGCTTTGCAATCAACTTCAGATAGAACATATTTGTCTAGCTTGTCCGAGAGGGACAATAACATGACCTCCGCTGTTCTTCAACAAGTTGAATTTTTAACGTCCACTTCAATAAGTAGTTCAATAAAAAATACTAATTTTCTATGAAAGGTAAGAACTTCAGCTATTTCATGGGCTTGTTTTCTCATATTTTTACAATGGTTTTCCTAAATTTTAATTAAATTAAAAAAACGTGAACATATTTTTAAAAACTATTTTCTCGATATCAAAACTTAATTTGAATTTTAAAAATATTTTTAAAAAATATGTAACAAAACAAAAAAATTCATAAAGTTTGTCAAACAAACACATTCTTTAAAAGAAATTAGTTAAAATTTAGGTCAAAGCAGAAATTCAATTAAAATATTAGATGAAAAAAAAATTAACGTGTGAACTTCATGGTAGGATCGAATAACAACCTATACATGAACTAAAATGAACACTAAAATGAACACAATTAAACGAAGAATATTGGTTAAAGATTGTATTCTCTCGGTTGCATATACATAAGTTATAATAAAAATTTTAGCTAATATTCTCTTTAAAATTTGTAGCCAGTATTAACTATGGTCTGGAGCGTGGGTTGGGGAGCCATCCTTTTAAACTTAATAGATTCTAAATTATTTTAGTGGAAGGCTTAAAAGCAAACCCAACTGTGGTTTGGGAGAATGAAAGAATAATAATCTTCTGTTCTTCAACAGGAAAAGAATAAGAATTGTATTCCAATTCCAAAAATTTATTTTCTCTGCTTCTTTTATCCAATCCTCTCTACCTCCGGCGGCCGCCATCTCCGAAAGACTCCGCCGCCGTCTCCTCCGACAGCGAACGGTTCTTCGTTTCAGACAGATCCGACATAGGACACCTTTATTTTGGATGGTTTCGGACAGATTCTGAAATGGAGGAGTCTTGGTGTATCTGTAAGTAACTTCCAGACAAATATCGATGGAAGCCTTAATTTATTTAAAGCTACAAAAATCTTTAAGTGATCATCAGTACAACCAACAAATTGTTCTTGAACAGAATGAAAAAATTAAGAGACACAATTAATTATGTTGATCGCTCAAACTTCAATATCCTTTGAATCCTTGTTGTCGTTTCTATGCATTTTCAGATAGCCCAGAAACTCGTCGATTAACCCATCGTCTCGTTCTTTGTTCACGAACAAATCCTTCATCTCTTTTACTCTGTCTCTGTAAATCTTACCTTCATCCTTCACCATTACCAAATTCAATGATTCCGCCACCGAATCGCTTGTAAATGATCCATCCACTTCGCTCCTCGGAACAGAGTAACCCATCTTCTTCGCTTCCAATACTCTTGCATTGATCCCTTGATCCGCCAAAAATGTCAGTAATATCAGAGATCTTTCACTCTGAATCGCTTCCACAACAGAGCTCCACCCAGCGTGCGTCAAAAACCCACCCACTGACTCATGTCCCAATATCTTCAACTGCGGCGCCCACGTGGTGCACACCACGCCCCGCCCTTTGGTTCGTTCCTCGAACCCATCAGGTAACTCGATTGGGTCCGGATCGCTAGGTCCTCGCCGGGTCCTCAACACCCAGAAAAACGGCAGCTCCGATTTCTCCAACCCTAACGCGATCTCGGTAAGTTCGTGTTGATTCGGCTTGGCCTCGCTTCCGAATGCCACGTAGACCACCAACCCTTTGGGTTGTTGGTCGAGCCATTGTTTAATCGGCTGCCACGCTGGATTCTCGTCCCCGGAATCATACTCCGACGTCGGAAGTTGACCGATTGGGAAAACGGTTTTACCGCATATATCTCCAAGTACTTCAATCCATTCCTGATTGAATTCAGGGCAAGCTCTCACAACCACTACATCGCTATAGCGAACATTAATTTTAAAGCGATCTAAATCAGACACGCCGGTAATGTTACCGGCAACGCTGTCGAAAATCTTCATGACTTCGAAGTAACGAAACGCCACGGTTGTTGGAAAAGGAACCCATTCCGGCGGAACTGTGAAGTCCTCTGGTTTAGTCCGTTTATCTCCGGATCTGGCTCCAAAAAACACCAGACATTCGGGAATGAAGATACTGAACAGAGCAGTCTTAATCCCAAGGCTGGGTCCGATCTCTTGACCCAACCAATAGGAAACAAAGTCACATAAGACCCAATCGGCATCGGAAGTTCGAAGAAACTCGGCGAGGGGTTGCTTTAGGCCGTCGTAGGCCTTTTTAAGATACTGAACTTGGTCGAAAGGGACATCGGTGGTGGCCTCTGCGCTTGGCGGCAGATTTTCGACTCGAGGCAGAGGAATTCCGACGAAGCGGAGAAAAGGAGACAAATGGGGCGGGAGTTTCGGGAGACGGTCGATGTTTCTGGGAGTGGAAACGAAGGAGACCCGGTGACCCTTTTGAGCGATGAGTTTGCAGAGCTCGAGATAGGGAATCATATGGCCAAAAGCCAGCCATGGGAAGAACACTATGTGGAGATTCTTATCGCCGGCCATGGAAAGGTTGCAGGGTCGCTTACTGGTACAATATGCCAATAATGTCGGAGATGGTCGGTAAGGGATAATGTTTCTAACTACTACACGAGTTTTTTTTTTTTTTTTTTTTT